TAACTGTAGATTAATGATAACAAAATAAAAAAAAAAGAATTCTTCATACCTGGCCATAGCAACCTGCATAATGAATAAGGCTTGGAAAATCCCTGGAACAACTCAGTTCTGCAATGGCTTCTGTTTCACTCACCATCCAGCGTACACACTCCAACTGACCATTCTAAATTAAAAAAAGAGAAAGTAAAAAATTCAAGGTCATTCAGGTTTGAAAATATCTCACAGGTGATTATTTGACCAAGGGAAGAAATCACATGAATTTGGGCTTCTATATTTGGCTTAACTTACTTACAATATAAGTATATCACAGATGATATTTCTGCTCTGTGGTTTTGGTTGTAAAGCAGTTGCAGAATTTTTACTTATATTTTTATAATTTTAATCAGGTATTTTAAAAGCACCTTATTTAGGCATAATTTGCATACTATACAATATACTCTTCCTATAGTTTGATGGATTTGGACAAATACATGCTCTCTTATAACAACAACTCCAATCAAAATATAGAACATTGCCATCATCCCACCTCCCCCAGATGCCTAGTACTCCTTCCCTCTCATCACCTCACCTTTGCCCTGGGCAACTACTGATGATTTCTTTCCCAGTGGAATAGGGTATGTACTCTTTTGTGTCTGGCTTCTTTCACTCAGCCTAATGCCTTGAGATTTATCCAAGCTTCTGCTTGGATGAACAATTCGTTCTTTTTTTTTCACTGAGAAGAGTCCCATTGTATGAATACATCACAATTTGTTTATTCATTTACTCTTAGAATAGGCTTTTTCCCTTGAGATGTTAAAATGTCAGAATTCCAAAATAAAGAGAAAATAATGTATTATAGTGGCTCAAATGCTACCTTCGCCGAAGCCTTTCTTGACTCCATGCCCACAATGGCTGAGGTCCCCCACACCCTGCAGACCAGAAGGCAGTTGTGACATATACAACCCAGTGATTGAGACCCAGACTCTGAATGGATTTAAATCCTTAATCCACTACTTACTTACAAGACCTTGAACAAGTTCCTTTACCTCTCTGATAATTTTCTCACCTCCTATTTTGAGAAATAGCAGGGACAGTAGCAACTACCCCATAAAGTTACCATGAGGATCAGATGAGACAAAGCACGTCAGCTTACTAAGCACACAACACTTGTTGCCTTGTACTATGAGAATGCTTCTCTTAGATCCTCCCAATAACTCTGCAAGACAACTAAGATGTTCCATTGCCTGCCTGGTTTGCATGGTGTGGGACCTTGGCACACAGGAGACAAGGGCTACCGTGGGCCTGGAGGTGGGGAAGCCTATTCTGTAAACAAGACAGGAGGTAATCTGCATATTCTTCATATCCTCCTGTTTGGATTATAGAATTACAAGTAGTCAGCTCCCACCTCTGCACCTGCAGTCTGTTCTTTGCACTTGGGGTATGGAGCCTGATCAGTTATGTGCTCTCTTCAGATCTGTCTGCTCCCTTCTCTGTCCTCCTTGAGCTAGAGGACTGGTCTATATGGACGGGCTTCCTTGCTCCTGGCTTCTGGCTAGGTTTAGCTGACGGAGAATGGTGGCAGACCAGGAAAGGAGAGTGAGTCTGAGGTTCCCTCGGTCTGGACTCCTCCCACCCCACCACAGGGTTGCCATGGGCCAGCTGAATCTCTCTACCAGTCAAAGGCCAAAAGTCAGCCAGTCCTTCAATTCAGCCCTGTCTATCTCATGTCCTGCAGCCCCTTCAGGGTCTGGGGCGGGGGGGTAACTGTGCTCTGCTGTTACCCCGGGATACTGCATTTACCTTCATGGGCTCCCTGCACCCCACCTACCCTTTTTGTGTGTAAGTCCTTCATTATGGACTTACCTTAAATTATGTAACTTGAGCATACCAAGGCCTTCCCACCAGGATTTTAAAAAAGTGCATTTCATTCCCTCTGAATGAAGAAAGTAATAGAAAGCATACTGAATATCTACTAGGTGAGACAGTGTTGGAAACTGGTATTTACCCAGAAGAGAGAAATATGAGGCAACACTTCTGACTTAATAATTTAAGTCTCTCTTTTTTTCCTTGGTTGGTTTAACAATAGGCTTACTAATTTTTTTTTATCTTGTCATAGAACCAAATTTGGTTTGATTTTCTCTATTGATTTTCTATTTTCTATCGCATTTATTTCTACTTCAATTTTTTAATTTCCTTCCTTCGGCTTGCCTTGAATTTTGTTTACTTTTCTTTTTCTAGTTTCCTAAGGTAAAAAGTTAGGCTATGGATTTGAGGCCCTCCTCCTTCTCTGCCTCCCTCTCCTTCTACTTAATATAGGTATTTTTAGCTACAAATTTCCCTCTAAGCTTTGTTTTAGCTGCATCTTTAAATGTTGGTATGTTGCATTTTCATTCATCTTCAAATGTTTTCCAGTTTCCCTTGTAATTTCTCTTTTGATACAATGATTATTTTGGAGTATGTTAACTCCACATACTTGTGAATATCCCAAATTTCCTTCAGTTACTGATTCCTAACTTCATTCCATTATGGTTGAATGACATGCTTTGTATGATTTCAGTCCTATAAAATTTTTTGAAATATGTTTTATGGCTTAAGATATATTCTATTCTCATGAATGCTCCATGTGCACTTGGGATGAATATGCATTCTGCTGCTGGTTGGCTAGAATGTTCTGTTACATGTCTGTTAGGTCTAATTATTTAAATAGGCAACATTTAAATATAATGCTAGAATTATTTGAACACTGGTAACGTACCTGACTGGTTGTGAGTTTGAAAATGGTATCACTTGCTAAAAAATAGAAATATCAAGAAAATAAAAAATGTTATTAAATTCTAGCAGGAGATTTTTGCCTGCTAAATTATCTGAGCCTGGAGTCACTCACTGTATGTTAAAAGGGAATGTGAATAGGTTATATGTTTGAAGTCATTTTCTCACCAGATTGACATTTTGTCTTTGAGTTTAATCAGAAGGACTGAATGAGAAATAAAAAAGGAATTGAGGTTATTTCATTCCAAGTCTGTTTAGCTCTTAAAATAATAAATTGTGCTGGTCCCATTTTAGAAAACATACTGCTCTCATCTTACAGAAATCTTTCTTTCCAATTATTTTGCTTAACTATTCCCAAAGGGCACTTAATAAAGCCCTGAACTTCCACAGTATCTAATGTTGGGTCCCCCAGAAAACACTCAATAAATTCTGCATGTAACTGGCAAGAATTTATGCAGTCCCATTTAAGGAGTTTAAGAGTGGGGGAGATATATTCTTAAGCTTTTGTCGGACTTCAAAGCCCCTTTTCTTAGGTAATCTTTTTATTTGATACCCTCTCTGACTCTGCTTCCTGTCAGCCATGTCACATTATCTTAGCAACTTCTGCCCATTTGTACCAGGTTTGTTTGTCTTTAATGACAGCAGGGCTCTCAGAACTGTGCTTAATGAGGTGAAACACCACCAGGCAGGTAGGTTACCAGTGCTCAAAACAAGGTCCTAAAACACAAGAATGATTGTCTCTTGGTACTCAATTTCCTCAGTGTCCATCAAAACACACTGAATGACCTGAGGCAGGATATGCATTAGGACAGATTCCCAAAGAGGGTGCCACTCATTATATTTGTATTTACTGTTTTTGTAAATTATAGATTAAATGAAAGAATAGAAGACTTTTTGCATTTTCAAATCACTGCGCAGAAGTAAAATATGAAAGGCCTGAGACCTCAAATATATGGGCTTTTGAGTCTTACGGGTTTGATACATGTTCTTCATTAGAACAAAACAAAACAAAAAACTGCTGTTCAAGTTTGCACAATGATTATTTGGTAACAATATGTTGACGGGAAGAGTTTAAGAATGAATTAACAATATGGACACTGTAGAGGGCTTTTATACCCAGTGTTGGCTTAATGACACTAAGTTTCCTATGTCTTACCTATTCTAAAGATCCTTCATCTATCAAAACAAGCACCAGGGCATATAAATTAAGAAAAAAAAAATCTCATCCAACTATGTAGCTGGGATATATTCAATAACCTAATATTAGTCACAAAACTAGTGAGAACTGTGTTTTATAAACACTGAAACAGCAAGGCAAATGTCAAGATCCATTGGTTTCACGAGAATATTTTATTTATCACTGACATCAGCCTCATGATGGTCAGATCCGACTCCTGTCTTCCTGCAGGACTCTGACATAGGACTGGATCCTGAATTTCCTTCATTATGGACTTACCTTAAATTATGTAACTTGAGCATACCAAGGCCTTCCCACCAGGATTTTAAAAAAGTGCATTTCATTCCCTCTGAATGAAGAAAGTAATAGAAAGCATACTGAATATCTACTAGGTGAGACAGTGTTGGAAACTGGTATTTACCCAGAAGAGAGAAATATGAGGCAACACTTCTGACTTAATAATTTAAGTCTCTCTTTTTTTCCTTGGTTGGTTTAACAATAGGCTTACTAATTTTTTTTTATCTTGTCATAGAACCAAATTTGGTTTGATTTTCTCTATTGATTTTCTATTTTCTATCGCATTTATTTCTACTTCAATTTTTTAATTTCCTTCCTTCGGCTTGCCTTGAATTTTGTTTACTTTTCTTTTTCTAGTTTCCTAAGGTAAAAAGTTAGGCTATGGATTTGAGGCCCTCCTCCTTCTCTGCCTCCCTCTCCTTCTACTTAATATAGGTATTTTTAGCTACAAATTTCCCTCTAAGCTTTGTTTTAGCTGCATCTTTAAATGTTGGTATGTTGCATTTTCATTCATCTTCAAATGTTTTCCAGTTTCCCTTGTAATTTCTCTTTTGATACAATGATTATTTTGGAGTATGTTAACTCCACATACTTGTGAATATCCCAAATTTCCTTCAGTTACTGATTCCTAACTTCATTCCATTATGGTTGAATGACATGCTTTGTATGATTTCAGTCCTGTAAAATTTTTTGAAATATGTTTTATGGCTTAAGATATATTCTATTCTCATGAATGCTCCATGTGCACTTGGGATGAATATGCATTCTGCTGCTGGTTGGCTAGAATGTTCTGTTACATGTCTGTTAGGTCTAATTATTTAAATAGGCAACATTTAAATATAATGCTAGAATTATTTGAACACTGGTAACGTACCTGACTGGTTGTGAGTTTGAAAATGGTATCACTTGCTAAAAAATAGAAATATCAAGAAAATAAAAAATGTTATTAAATTCTAGCAGGAGATTTTTGCCTGCTAAATTATCTGAGCCTGGAGTCACTCACTGTATGTTAAAAGGGAATGTGAATAGGTTATATGTTTGAAGTCATTTTCTCACCAGATTGACATTTTGTCTTTGAGTTTAATCAGAAGGACTGAATGAGAAATAAAAAAGGAATTGAGGTTATTTCATTCCAAGTCTGTTTAGCTCTTAAAATAATAAATTGTGCTGGTCCCATTTTAGAAAACATACTGCTCTCATCTTACAGAAATCTTTCTTTCCAATTATTTTGCTTAACTATTCCCAAAGGGCACTTAATAAAGCCCTGAACTTCCACAGTATCTAATGTTGGGTCCCCCAGAAAACACTCAATAAATTCCGCATGTAACTGGCAAGAATTTATGCAGTCCCATTTAAGGAGTTTAAGAGTGGGGGAGATATATTCTTAAGCTTTTGTCGGACTTCAAAGCCCCTTTTCTTATGTAATCTTTTTATTTGATACCCTCCGCTTCCTGTCAGCCATGTCACATTATCTTAGCAACTTCTGCCCATTTGTACCAGGTTTGTTTGTCTTTAATGACAGCAGGGCTCTCAGAACTGTGCTTAATGAGGTGAAACACCACCAGGCAGGTAGGTTACCAGTGCTCAAAACAAGGTCCTAAAACACAAGAATGATTGTCTCTTGGTACTCAATTTCCTCAGTGTCCATCAAAACACACTGAATGACCTGAGGCAGGATATGCATTAGGACAGATTCCCAAAGAGGGTGCCACTCATTATATTTGTATTTACTGTTTTTGTAAATTATAGATTAAATGAAAGAATAGAAGACTTTTTGCATTTTCAAATCACTGCGCAGAAGTAAAATATGAAAGGCCTGAGACCTCAAATATATGGGCTTTTGAGTCTTACGGGTTTGATACATGTTCTTCATTAGAACAAAACAAAACAAAAAACTGCTGTTCAAGTTTGCACAATGATTATTTGGTAACAATATGTTGACGGGAAGAGTTTAAGAATGAATTAACAATATGGACACTGTAGAGGGCTTTTATACCCAGTGTTGGCTTAATGACACTAAGTTTCCTATGTCTTACCTATTCTAAAGATCCTTCATCTATCAAAACAAGCACCAGGGCATATAAATTAAGAAAAAAAAATCTCATCCAACTATGTAGCTGGGATATATTCAATAACCTAATATTAGTCACAAAACTAGTGAGAACTGTGTTTTATAAACACTGAAACAGCAAGGCAAATGTCAAGATCCATTGGTTTCACGAGAATATTTTATTTATCACTGACATCAGCCTCATGATGGTCAGATCCGACTCCTGTCTTCCTGCAGGACTCTGACATAGGACTGGATCCTGAATCTGCCACCTTGCACTTGAATTATCAGTAATTTAGCTGCCTTATCTACCAGGCTATCAGTTCCTTAATAAAAGGACTAGGTCTCATTCAAAGCTGTATTGCCATCAGCTAACATAGTACCTGGTAGACTTGGTACACATTGTTGAACTCAATTATGCTGAACCTTGATTTACATTTCATTTCTCTTTCCTCATGATGGCTGCCTGAAGTTGTGCCCTTAATTTGACAAGGCAGCCAAAAAGAAATATGGAGTCACAGATTCCTCATTTTATCAAAAAATATCATTTTCTACACTATCTTTGAAATAATACCTTATCACTGAGTAAAATTAAATAAAGTGGGAAATGGGTTTTTAATATATAAAACATTACTGAATGGTAAATAAAAATACAAAAATTCTTATTTGCATAAAGATATATTAGAGATAGGATAGCAACTGCTGTTGTTCAAATGGAACATGTTTTTAGGGAATTCATAAGTGGATTTCTTTAGCAAGATCCCTATATTTCAGTATAATTCCATTTATAAAAGCTATGATTGTTCAGTGGATAGAAGACAATAACTATTATGTAAAGCAAAGTACATATGTGGAAGCTCAAGATGAATTATACTTCCCTGAACTTCGAATTATACTTCCCTGAACTTCACTTCTGGCTTCTTATTAAATACAACTGAATTCCACATGTATTTGCCAAAGATCTTAAAAGTAATTTTAGTTGAATAGCCAACCTTCTAGTGGTGTGTTATATTTTATGGAGGCAGTCACGGCAGTGCTATAAAAGACCATGTTTTCCTGTATCAGACTCTCTAGGTTTTAACTCTACCTCAGTCAGCATTCATTTGTGTAGTTTTTGACAGGATAATGTGCTCTGCCAGAGCTAAGCTCAAAGTCGGCGCTGATAGTCTAAACTTTTTTAGTTTGAAGGCCTTAAAATGGCAGATGTGATGCATTAGAAGCCCACTTTATTATCTGAAATACTCCTGAGTGCTATCATCCCTTAACATATACCTTTTCTTCATTTGTCTTGCTCATTATGCTCACATTAGGAAAAAATGAAACACTCTCAGATAGACCCAGGTGTGGTCAAGAATCTAAGTTGTAGTCACTGTGAATAACAAAATTCTTAGTTCCACAACAGATGATTTTCATTACTCTTTATTAGCAGATTTGAAGCTCATCCTCATAGCACGATAAATTGGAATTCAGTCTCAAGATCTCAAAGCACTTAGTAACTGAAAAGATTACTCCTAAGTGCAATATGTCCATTTGCTGTTGAGTGGTCTGTCACTCTCTCTCTCCATTCCAACACTTTAGCCCAATAGGAATCTTAAAAAATAGAAACCCAGCTTTTAGCTGTGGAGGGCACAGCACCCAACCAATCACCTTGATGGCCAGGCCTGCCGGTGTCAGCTTCTCGGTGTTTCGCTCACTGAGGCAATCCTCTCCCATCAAGGAAGTGAGGTGCTGGAGGCATTCTGCATGTCCCTGCGATGCCGCTATGTGCAAGAGATTGTTTCCACTTTCGTCGTGAATTTTGTCTAGATTGTCGGCAGCTAGGTGTGGCTGTGCAAACAGTTAAGATCAGAAAACTTTAGTCAACAAATCAGAAGGAGGTGCCATGGGGGTTTTGCTCTGGGCCCTGGGAAGAGGACGACATGAGCTTCCAGGAGCTCTGGTGGTGGCCCTGGTATCTAAGGAGTCAGCATCCCTTACAATTCAGTCTAAAGATTTCTCATGAGCTTTTGCTACACTATGCTTTAGAACATGAGTTCCCAGAGATTTACTGTCAGGTGAGGTGTGGTGACAAGGCCAGGCCCTGTTCAAACAACTGCAGTGGCATTTATGGGAGGTGGTAGGTTCCCTGTCTGTCTCCCTGACTCCTCTGCCAAGTCCTGAGGGCTGGGCCATGTTTTATTCTCTGATGTATGTTTGTTGCATGAATGAACTACCTGTCTCAACTACCTGGTTTGCTTTACGCTGTGGAAAGCTGGCTTTGATGGCAAGCCTCACAGTGACTGCAGCTCCTCACGTTCCCAAGGGCCCCTCTAGGATTCAGCCCTTCCAAGCCCACCCCCGGGGGCATCCAGATGTGGCCTGGCCTTTGGTTTCATTGGTCTTCTCACCTTTAGGGAAGTTTAGTCCCCTCAATATGAACTGCTTGATAGAGACTATTGGGTGGTTTAAGAGGTATTACCATTTGGGAATCATGAAAACATGGAACATGGGATGGACCACAGAAAGGAGTGAACCAAAGCTAAAGAGAGAGGAAGAGCCAGGAGGAATGGAAAAGACATTTTCAGGAAGAAAAAAAAAATGTATTACTTTATTTAGTAAAACAGTTCAATCCTATCATCCTATTATAACAATAAGATCTGTGATAATAGACCAAGCACATTATACTTGTCAAAGAATGGCTTTACCCGAAGTGGGATCACACTGCCAAGCCATGATGATTTTCTTGAATGAAAATTTAATTAACATCATAGTATCAGCCCAGACTTGCCACTGTTTGATCCAAGTCTGGAAGCCAGGAAAGAACAATGCAGACAGATGGAGTGTGATTTCAGTTGAGTGCCCTCTGAGCCTAAGCAGAACAGACTTTTCTCACATCATGTTACTCTGGGTCTACAGTCTTGGTAAAGCTTCTTTATGCTCCCTAGACATGCAGAGCTGGAGTAACAACTCCTTGCAGGTCAGAGGGCAATCAAGCTCTAGGGTAAGCTTCTATCTGCAAATGCTTTCAAACGTCCTGGTCCAACTCTCCTGAATAATGATCCAGATAAAACAGAAGACCCTCTGTTCATGTACCTGGCAGGTCCACCATCGGCAAGAAACTCACATCCCCACAAATAACTGAGTGAGAGCATTGGGAACCATTTGAAAAGCAAAAAGAAAGGCATTAAGATCCAAGTTAACAAAAGAGCTAGGCTTTTCTTTCGTTTTGTTTTAGATCAAGTGTCCTTAATTCACTTCACCTCATGCAAAGGTCAAGTGAAATAACACTCCCTCTACAGCCATTTGTTTTTCCCTGTATTAATGCCCTAACTTTTTATTTTAAAACTCAAAAGTCACATCCTCCAACTAAAGCCACAAGTAAAGATTAAACAAGGATGGGAACAAATGCATCATTATTCTGTTACTAACAGATGGAGATGATAAAACCGGAGGCTCTAGAGTGTTAATATGTACACTGCATTAGATCATACTCACCAGGAGAGAGATCTGGCCTTCCTTAACGATGTTCAAGATGCTTTTAACTTTTTTCAGATACTCACTCCTTTCCTCTGGGCCTGAGGGGCTGGTCCAGCTCGTGCCCCCAATCTGCTCCTCTAGCTTGGGCTCCGCGGTTGAGGACTGCAGACGGAAGGCCCTGAGCTGGCAGTCTGGCACTGCCTTCTCAACTTTTCGACCGTGAGGCTCACTAAAGGTCTTGCTTAGGAAGTCCTTAGTCTGGTTTCCAGGCTCACACGCAGAGCCACATTTTCCCAGGGGTGAGCCCTCGGCTTCTTCAGTGGAGAGCTTTGGCTGGTCGCGTGCCCCGGATGATGCTTTTCTTAAGCGAGGGCTCTTCACGGGAGAAAGGACACAGAACGGCGTCCTGCTGGCTGGCGAGGTCTCAGCGCTTCCTGCAGAGCAGGCTTTGCCAGAAAGGCCGTTGATGCTTGTGCATAATCCCAAAATTCTTTTTTCTGACGTTACCTTAAAAGAGGCAAGCTGCTGACTGGTTTTAATGTAAGGCACATCCAGAATTTCATCCATGTCGAGGTCATAATGCTCCAGTTCGCCCAGCAAGGCACTGGGCTCACTGCTCTTACTTTGGGGGCCGCCCTCTCCGTCTCCTGTGCTGAGCTCCCCAGGCTGGGGGCCTGGGTCAGGATCACCCCCCTTCTGGAACTCTGCTTTCTGGTTTTTTTGATCATCACTTTCATTGTTTTCTAGAGTTTCTGGCTGATGTTTCAGTGGAGAAACTCGCTTCACGGGGCGGAACTTACTGTACACATCAGCGATTCCAGTGGGCTTTTGTGTGTTCGTAAGAAGAGTTGAGACGCTGCAGTTCCAGCTAGAGCTAGAAGCTGTTTTAAAATAAATTCAAAGAGGAGGCTATTAATTGAAACACTGAAAATATCTTGTATCAGGCAGACATGGCCGACTCAAGTTATGCTCAAGGTAAGCCCCTGTGTAAGGGGATGACTGACAGAGAACGTGTTTTGTAAAACAAATAGTTCATACTTACCATTGGAAAACAATGAATGATAAAAGTAAGTTATGACAAGCTAGCTCACAATTAGTTAAAGCAGTAACACTGGTAAAAGTAGACAGCTAATGAAAACCGACTTGGACAGATCCTTAGGTTTATTCCTTGCATAGTTACACCTCCTTGGCAGCATTTTGATACCACTGTGAAAAATGGAATTGGAGTTACATTCTGTTAAATGAACTTCCAAACTAATTCAGGGAGAGAACGGATGTACACCGACATGCACTTACATATGCACCCCACCTGTACACCCCCAAAGCTTACAGAAATCTTATAGATGAAGGGTAAATTATTTAATGTTGGGCAAACTTAAGCTTACCCATCGGGTGATTTACCAGGTTAGAGAGATTAGGAAAAGAGCAGATAGGAATGAAGAGGTTAGGAGCTGACCGGTTTATGGGAGGTAAGCCATGTTCGACCCCCTACTGTGCACTGCAGACTGAGTACCCCAGTGAACCCTCATTCAGGGGCTTCTCACGGTGCTCTCTGGCATATGGCACATCAACATACTAACACATACTAACACTTCACCATGGAACATGCTCTGTAAGATTCAGGGCCACCTTCCATTGTTGGGAAAGCTGGAAGCAAACACAGGGAATTTGCAAAAGGAGGGTGAGGTAGGCAGACTAGTTTTTTATTTTTCTCATTTCTGTACAGAGCTCCCAGAGGGTATGGTTTGCATCTGAGTAGATGTCCGGTTGAGGTGGCATGCAAAGAGAAACAGCAACACATCTGGCGGTGAAGGATAAGAACCACCACCTCTTGCAGTTGGCCTTGTACATGAGGCCGCAACCATGCCTTCTCCTGATGCACGATGACAGAGCGACCAGTGTCCTTAGCCGTGAGGATACCGCTTCCTCTCTGGGATGCTCTCTTGACTCTAGGACAGATGATCCAGCACCCTTGGAAACTCACAGGCCACTGCTTTATGGATTTGTCCTCCCCTTCCATTTAGTTTATAGCATCCCCCATCAAAGGAGTGAGGTTTCAGGACATGCCCTCCAATGAGGGACTGCCCATGGACCTCTCCTCTTCTGAAACAACAGCCGGTGGGGAGTATTTAACCCCAAAGCATGTGCGTGTGTGTGTGTTTTGCTATGGGCATAGCCAGAGAAGAACCTGAAGTGGAGGTGTACCGAGGTCTACAACTTGTGACAGCCCCTGGCTGCCACTGATTTCTGCAGGGTAAGCAGCACACAAGTTACTGAAAGTCCCCAAGATTCAGATCTCTGGTCACTCTTCATCCTTCAGAGATACATTCCAAAAGGGTTCAGGGAATTCTGAAACTAAGTTGAGGAGCTGTTGGTGGGAGGCTTCTTTCCCCAAAATGGACCACAATCTGGCACAGGATTCAGAGAGCCTGCAGGACATAGTCTTCCTCCGTGCCTTTAGAATCCAAGAAGAGAACACTAGGAGCTGTGGAGGGGGGCCTGGATTCTGCCCAGTTAGGAATATAAGGACTAGGTATTAACAGGGAGTGTTCCAAAAGGGATGGAAGGTATGTGGATTCTCTTAGGTTGCTGCTTCTCTTCTCTTTGCTTGGCTTGGTTCTCAGTTGTGCACAGTACTTGGCACAGAGCGATTAACAAATACAACTATTATTTGAATCTCACTTTGCACAACATATTAAATCTCCTTTTAAATGCCCAAAGTGCATCCTTCTGAGGGATTTATGGCTTCATATCACAAGGGACAAAAGTCCTGTTAATAAACTCAGACGAGTAAAAACCACCAATAAGAGCTGGATTTTCTAAAGTTATTTGTGAAATGTAAATATGCAAAAGCAAAGACTAATTCCAGTCGGTCCATTATAAATTTAACAGTTTATCTATCCATTATATGTTCTTTTCTCCCTAAACATGTGAAGCTATGAAAAATTAATGTCTGCCAGAAATTTCTGCCAAGGCTTTCTCTTCCCTTCAAGAACATATGGCTACTTATTTAAAACAGCAGAGAGATAGTGGACATAGAGTTTATAATACATAAATATGTCTTTAATTTTATCCATTAATTTTTCTGAAAATCTTCAAATACAGTGGAGAAAATATATTCCTTGACATTTCTGAGATACATACTTATTATCAGGTAGGGTATTTGTTAATATTTTGCCAATTATCTTGATTTCTTTGCAACTTCTTGAAAATGTGCATCTCAGGATATAATAAAAAATTTTGAAACCACATAACCTAGTGGGTCAATACAACGAATGCATTGTACCAATATATTTATGTATCGTATAAGGTCGTGGGTTCAAAGGGCTACTCTTTTATGTTGGCTTTATTTACATGTGAAATTTTTTCCAAGTGATACAGGGAAATGGATACCATATGTTTCCCAGCTGTTTTGTTCTGACAGGAGCCATTAAGAACACTGTGGGAATGAATTCTGTCTGAGTCTTACAAAAACACTTCTCTTCTCAGAGGGGTCTGGAAACTGAGAAAGGGGTATCAACGTTAGGCTTGTCCTTCCTCTTATTCCAATGTATGACTCCTTTTTAAGGCTGGGAGTAAAATCTGTGCTTTCTAGTCTGTCTTTGCTACCAGGAAAGAAAACCCCACGCATGAAAAATGGAGCATCTAACAGGTTTCTATGAGAATGCTCCAATTTATTGCCATATCATATACCCGTCTTAGAAGAAGGGTAATATTAAGGTCTATACAGAACACATAACTCAGTTTATTTCTCCTAAGCTGGACCAATGGATATTTTAGGGACAAGAAAAAGAGCAGTTAATGAGTGGCAAGATTTTTTACTTTCAATTCTGTAAGTTTACTGAAATTTCATGTAACCTGTTGCCCTACACCAGCAGCATAATTAATCTCTTAAAATACACGGAAACCAAGTTCAGACTAACAAGGTTTTGAGGCTAAATGTATTTTCTGGAAACCACAAATAAATACTTCACATTAACAAACTTTAAATCCCTAACGATTTTATCTATTATCTTATTAGATCTTTCCAAGCTCTGTGAAAGCAGGGTCTGTGTCCAATTTCTCTCTCAATCCTTCAAAGTACCCAGCAGATTGCCTCACATAGCAGGTTCTTAATGACTTTTTGGTGGAATGGAGTCATTTTTAACACCTTGCAAAAGTAAACATGTCTAATATACTTTAAACCTGTCTACCTGATTATGTCACAAATTTTCTAAAATGGTCAGTAGGTACGTGAAAATATGGCTGAGGATGATTTATAGGCCATGATGATCTCTTGCGATCCAGCTGGGCTTTGGAATGTCTCTGATCTCCAGCAAGTTATTGCCAATTGCCTGCTGACCAGACGTGCTTCGCCATTTATCTGACAAGCATTTAACATGAGGTTAGGATGTGCAAGTATTTATAACAGGCAGCATGCTCTAATCCAGGGGTCTCACCCCTCTCCTTCCCTGTCTGCTTCCTCCCTTTTCCCTCCTCATCCAGCACAAACACTGACTTCTACATGTGTTCCTGGCAAACCTGGCCTGCATCACGTGACCAGTTAGGCCATGGTGCGAGCCATCCATCTCCAATGCATCACTGACCTGTCTTCCCTTGAAAGTAGCCCTTCATCCCTCAGGCACCAAGTCCTGCTGTGGCCTGATCCTAAGTCCCTCTCAAATCTGTGTTCTTCATCCTATTACATTGATGGGATTATACTGGGACTCTCCCAAAGCCTCTGCAAAGTTTTACCTACCTCTTTGGACTTCCTTACCCATCCTGAGTTGCATAAGTCTGCTTTTGTCACTTCTTGGCTCATAAATCTCAGGTGGCCTTGTACTGTGTAAAACATAGCCTCCTGTGGGACGCACTTCCCTGCAGTATGGAGGACGGCACACAGGACCATGCTTGGTACTCCCTGACTTAGAGAGTGAGCAGGCTATAGAGCTTCAACTCTTTCCTCCTCCTGATTAATTAAAGGAGTCTCAGCTTGGTGCTACAATAAATTTAACTCCTCTTCAAAACTTACAGTCTCCCTTTAGAATGATTAGACTACAGCCCTTGGGCTGAGAGATGTTCATAAGCAGAGACTCCTTACCCATTAAATGTGTGCACGTTCAACTCATTCATTCTAATGGTGACCTTGAAAATTCAAGTGACGGAAGTTTTCTACTTAGAACACTGACATCAAGTTTCTTTTAAAAAAGACATGTGCTCACAAGTAAGTTATTTTAGAAAGACATGTTAAATAAATAAGTGGTATACAGGTAAAGCAAAAATAACAGAGGAAGGCTTTGGGTGTGACACACATTGTGGAAATAATACTTGAATGACTAAGGTTTGGGAAACCCTGGCTTTCAGGATAGTTTCTAAATTCTTTATTTATGCATGTATATATGGACATATATGGTATGTAACAGTTCCTTTCCAAGGATACCTCTGTGATATTGTAGGCTCGGTTCTGGGCCACAGAAATAAGGCCAATACCACAACAAAGGAAATCAAATGAATTGTTTGGTTTCCTAGTGTGTGTAAAAGTTATGTTTACACTCTGATGTAGTCTATTAAGTATACAACAGCATTATGTCTAACAAAATAATGTACATACCTTAATTAAAAAAATACTTTATTGCTAAAAAATGATACCCATCATCCGAGCTTCCAGGGAGTCATCATGAATCACTTTTGTTGGTGGAAAGTCTCGCCTCCACACTGATGGCTGCTGACTGACCAGGGTGGTGGTTTGCTGAAGGCTGGTGTAGCTGTGGGAACTTCTTAAGACAACCATGAAGTCTGCTGCATTGCTGACCTTTCCTTTCATGAACAATTTCTCATAGCATGTGATGCCGTTTGACAGCGTTCTACCCACAGAACTTCTTTCAAAATTGGAGTCAATCAT